CTTCTTGACAATAAGGTACTTAAGACTAAATGTGGAGAGTTAAGATATGCTTTACCTAAAAATAATCTCCAGAAAAAAGAAACACTCTATACAAGGTAATTGGAGTTTGTTTTGACGTTACTCATTAAACAAACTGACCATGTTTTATTTTTTTAACTACTATTTGAATGAAAATACGTTTAAACTTATGCATACACTGTACAATGTTTGTTTAACGCAGATTACATTTTTAGGTGTTAATGGTTTTAGTTTTAATAGAGAGAAAAACATACAAATATACAAATTTCCCTTTTTTTAATACATAAATGATTCATCTACAGGTACTAACTTTATTGTGCATTTATTCTTTGAGGTAATCATTTCGTTTAAAGTAATGCTTATAAATTGTAAAAATTATAAAAATATGAGTCGTACTCATATGTTTTATGAATTTCTTGACTTCTAGTGGCAGAAAATTTTAAGGTATTTCCATCCTCACTTGTTCTGAAAAAAAAAAATTAATTTAAATCCATACCCATTCGATTGATGTTTTTTGGAAGAATAGGTGTAACGATAAACATTGTTAAGTAAAATAATTTAAAAGATGAATATTTTTTTTAAATTATTCAATCTTTAAACAAAGAGGTGACAATGACAATTACTCCTTCTCCTGTACCTGAATCTTCATTCAGTCACGTTCTTTATTGAGATTGTGGCAACAAATATTTTCCATGTTAGTTTTAATTTAAAAGTTAAGAAGGAAATATTCTAGAACTTTCAGAAGTTTTTGATAATATACATTTTTTGAAATAAATGGTAAATTTAAACTATATCACCTGAAAATTAATAAAGACTTTGTACTTTGAACTATAGAAATTGTGCTGGTGAATAGACTTTGCAATAAAAAAATTCAAGTTAGGAGATAATATTGTATCGGTTTTGATCAATTACCACTAGTTCACACGTACGTTTCTAACAAGATATGCATATGTTACTATTATGTGTATATGAATAACAAAAGTTCTGAATCGTGTTTAATATAAAAATAAAATAGACATTTTTTTTTATTGAGTTAAATGTTGACAGACGTTTTTCATACTTCGTTTTAGTCCATTATTTATACACTGAATTGACGACGATTTTTTTTCTATCATTTCCAAATCATGGCAATGAACACACGGCGGGTCAGCTGGGGATGCTCACTCCTTCATGACACCTGATCCCACCTCTGATATTTCATTATATTTGCTCTGTTCCTATTTTGTATTGTTTTATGGACTTTGATATTGAATGCTGTTCGTTATCTCCATATCCCTCTTCACAAAAATATCAATGACCTGTAAAGTAGTTTAACAAAATCACTTCTGAATATCCCTCCCTCAGATTCCAAGGGCTTCTTATCATGTACTTTTTATAAAAGAAATGTCGTCCTTGTCAAGGAGATCAACAATGGTTAAAACTGGGCAAAAAATAAGACAGTTTTGATAAATACAGGTAATTGTTCATAACATGTTCAGATCAGTACTGAAATTTAATATTAGAATAAACTTTCAGAAGAAACCGATGACTCATACATTCACCTGTTCATCTTAAGATGAATTTAAATTACTGAATTAATGTGACCGCTTTTCTGGTCCCACAGGATATAACAAATGCTTTGGGACAATTGTTTGAATGTTATTCTTTTACGCCAAGTCGGTGTTATATTTCATCTACATTCCGATGGTTACGCATTATTAAGAAGAACACTTCACTGCTTGTACATATTTTAATGACTTTTGACTACCATTTCGTTCTCGTCATTTTCCTGAAAATTATGCTGTTCTAAAAATATTATAACCATGTACATTTATTGATGTTTTTTTTTTTAAATCGTCTGATTTTTTGTATCAAATTTTATTATAGTGACTTTGATATGTTTTTAATTTTCGTACATTTATTTTATTTTCGTAAACAAACATATTTTTTTTTTATAAAAGTGGGGACAAAAACATTTTGTGTCTTAAATCATGTAGAAAATTTATTTTTAAAAGTTTACACTAAGAGTAGCGGCGAGAATAACATGAATGATAAAATACGAGTCTCATTTTTAAAGGATAGAACTTCTTTGTTAAAAAACGAGAATTGTCTGTCTCATTTTTAGGTTACCGTCAGGTAGAATTCACTGATCCGTTTAAATAGGAGGTGCAATTTGCCTTTATTTAGATCATAGTTGTGCTGTTGTAACTTTGGTAGACAGAACTTTAGTTTGTAATATAATATCCTGTGTGCGCTTAAACGACGTGGCTCAGATTTGAAGAAAGGAAACAAATGATCTTAAACTAAAAGTGAATTTTGTGAAAGATTTGCTGAGGACGATATTTATATCTCATGTCATGCAAATCTGACTGAAAATAAATAAGTAAATCCTCTTGTTGAAAGACAATTTCCTAAATCATTCATAAGATTGTTACTTTGATAAATCCAGGCGGTTAAAAATTCCAATGTAGCATAATCAGATATAAAATTATTTTTATATAGTTTTTTCATATAAACATTCATGCATGTAATCAACAAAATTAGATGATTGATTTTTATGGTTTAACGCTCAATTGGCAATATTACAGCCATTGATAACTGATTCATGTATTGAAAGTATCTTTTGTGCATGTACGTTAATTGGCGTGCATATACAAGGGTTGATCCAAAAGTAATGTCACAACTTTGATAAAATTACTATAAATCGACGTAAAGCAACAAAATTAAACATGATGAAAGCTTTACTTATTTCAAATTAGACCTGAAATATTAAAAGGAATATGGTGTATACTTGTCAAAATATCGGATTTTAAACAATGCGCGTTCATGGTAGTCGCTGCACCTAAATATAACGTCATATGACGGATACACACCGTCATACTTTTAAGCATTTCCCTTTCGTTTCATTCAAGAATATTTGTGATTCGTAAATACGTTCACTAATTCCACTTTCTTTAAGAATACTTGGTACCATTATTCACTCACTCTTTTCATAATTAAGGCATCTGTCAAAATGTTTTGAACAGAAGGATAAGACAAACTTAAAAATTCACATGTCACTCTATACGTCTGTCTTTTTTTTTTGACAACGTCAGATACCATTGAACGTTTTCGTCCGATCTCTATCTCTCAGTTTTCTTGTCCTCTGCTGATCATTCGGTGACCAATCATCCGCCCAAAATTGCTGAAACCATCCATTTAGATATATATCTTATTTACATTCTTTATTCTGTAAGTCTGATTGATGTCGCTAGTGATGATTCCCATATTTTGAAGCAAAACATGCATAACAACTCATCAAGCCTTTTTCCCCATTTCGACAATCCCTTTGTTTAAATCAAAAGAGTAAAAAACAAAGTTTATGATCACAAATACCAATGCCGTCAGTTACTTTTCAATTTTGGCGGGGCCAAAACGGCCGACCAAAGTTTAACATAGAAATATATAGGAAAATTCTTTAAAAATCTTTTTCTCAAGAATGACAAAGCCATAATTCATCATATTTATATGGAAGCATGCTCAGGTAGTGTAGATTCAAGTTAGTTTAAATCATGACCCCCGGGGGTAGGGCGGGCCAAAATGGCCGACCAAAGTTTTACATAGAAATATATAGGAAAATTCTTTAAAAAATCTTCTTCTCAAGAATGACGAAGCCATAATTCATCATATTTATATGGAAGCATGTTCAGGTAGTGTAGATTCAAGTTTATTCAAATCATGACCCCCGGGGGTAGGGCGGGGCCAAAATGGCTGACCAAGTTTTTCATAGAAATATATAGGAAAATTCTTTTAAAATCTTCTTCTCAAGAATGACAAAGCCATAATTCATCATACGTGTATATATATGGAAGCATGCTCAAGTAGTGTAGATTCAAGCTTGTTTAAATCATGACACCCAGGGGTAGGGCGGGGCCAAAAGGGCGGGGCCAAAATGGCCGACCAAAATTTTTTAAAGATATATATAGGAAAATTCTTCAAAAATCATTTTCTAAAAAATAGCAAATCCATGATTGGTCATGGGACTACTTTTGGATTTAAACTTTACAATAAAAAGCCATTTTCTACTTTTTCCTACCCTTAGTGCTCAGGTGAGCGATGTGGCCCATGGGCCTCTTGTTGTTTCTCAGGCCAAAATTTTCAAAATTCAATGTTAAGAAGGCATAAGGAAGGAATAATGTCCTTGGGCCTCTAAGAGATAATACAAGACTTGTGAAATATCAAAATGAAAATGAAATAAAGTAAATTAATTGAATACATGTTTCTTTAGAATGATAAATAAAAATGCTTTTTTTCTTTTTACCAAGACATAAAGACACAAACCAAGAGGAATAGAAACCTTGCCGTTGTTACAAGACACAAGACATCAGTGTGGTAAACATTTCTCTGTTACTTTGTATAACGGTGTACCAACACACTGTAGATTATACATATCTATACAGTGTGATACATCATCACAAATATCTACATTTAATGCTGCACATTGTTGTTACTTTATAAATGGATATTTGAATTAAAAGAAAAGTTTTTTAAAACTGTAATATATTTATTTAAAGTAAAGGTTATTAAGATTTTATGCAATTTGTAAATTTGGATATAAAGTTTATTTATAAAGAAGTGGAACTATTTGAAGTCAAGTTTACATTTAAAATATTTTGCATTTCATGCACTGTAGAAGAATTTTGAATGACTGCTCTATTTCTTTTTTGAAGTTTTAATTTTTAAATATTGATTTTAAAACAGACTTCACTGTGAGTACAATGACCCTGCTATACAAAGAAAAGAAAGAATTCAGCACTAAGTATCAAGGTATTTATTGTGTGCTTTAAGTTCTAAAAATCAAAACTTTAATATAAATACATGTTATTCACTGAGTACATTGTAAATAGAAAGATTTAACTGATGAAGATAATTCTGTTACAATGTTGTAATTTACATAGAGATCTCCCTGACTGAGGAAATCCACACGGAAGTCTGTTATAAAAAATCAGGATAAAGAAATAGACTTCTGCTGTCAATAATGTATAGAGGACTGTACCAGAAATCTGTCACCGTGTATGGTGTTAGGGAGGGTCATCACATTTCCCGTGTGTCTACAAACCGGGTCTGGATCAATGATAGTTATGGCAATCTTATACTGACAAACACAAAAGGTGAAGAACTAGATCGCGTGACAGTTATAGGTAGTGATGTATGGGGAGGACACACTGTGGACTCTAACGGTGATCTAATCTATATAGAAAGTGAATTAAACATCAGTAAACTGTCTACAGAGAACAAAGAAAAGACTACGATAATACAGTACAACACATCACCATGGAGACCAGAGAGTGTCTACAGCTCCCCCTCCACTGGAGACCTGCTGGTCGGGATGTCTTACTACACTAATAATACATATACAGGCAAGGTAGTGCGGTATAACTCCACAGGAGAAAACATCCAGACCATACAGCACGACAACAACACAGGTCAGGGACTGTATGGTGTACCTATGTACATCACAGAGAACCGCAATGGAGATGTTATTGTGTCTGACTGGGACCGTCATGCTGTAGTGGTGACAGATCATTACGGTAAATACCAATTCTCCTACAGAGGTCCTCCATCAGGATCAGAACTACGGCCACATGGAATCTGTACTGACGCGCTGTCACACATCCTGGTGTGTGATTTGGTCACGCGGTCAGTACAGATGTTAGATAGTGAGGGTCACTATCTGACAGAGATAAAGACATCACAGCACGGGATAGACAGTCCACGGGGCCTGAGTTATGATGATAAAACTCACCTACTGTGGGTAGGGGCACAGGGCAACAACAACACAGTCAACCTATACAGAGTGGTAGATACAGACTCTCTGACTGGTAAGTAATAATGTAGTCTGTTTTATTGTATTGTATAATTATAATACCAATACTAAATAACCGATTATAATAGAGAGGTCATTTAAAAATAACTTTACATGAATGTATTCAAGTGTTTATTTACAAATGTAATAGAAATGATTGCTTATTGTATAAACAACAAATATAAGCTGACTACAAATATAATAAATAGATTAAAAAGAAATAATAAATTTACATCAAGTCTGTAATGAATTGTAAGATGTTGTGTGTCACTCTTCAGTCACTGATTCATACATATATATACTGAATCTTATGTCTAACTTTTCTGTAATTTTTTATCAGAAACATCTTACTGTACATTCATTCATCTATATATTTGTTTGACAGATAGGTTTTGAATTATAGATATACATACCATATACTGTCTTTGGGGTAATAATCAACTTTTGAGTTTGTGTGAAGTTTTGTTCGATAAATACATTTGGTGTAGTATGATCTGTTTTGAAAAATAGCAAATAGAAAAAGAATTTTTTAAATTTTTTACAAAGTCCTTTATAATGTATTCAATTTAAGTTACTGTAATTCTACATTCAGAACACATGACAATTTGTACTAATGTTGACAGTTAGATATAGACATCATTGACATTAACACAGCTCTGTCTAGGAATGTTGTGTATTTCTGTAGCAGGTGTTCAGTAAATCTACACTGTGTACTTGGGTGACATTTTTTGTATGAGAGACTTCTATATGTCTAATGAAATATGGAGATCCGAGATAACCAACATTATTCAAGCTTCAAGTCCATACTGATGCTTAAGATTCATTTCATTTTAATGAAGAAAAAAAATTATTTCTTAGACACTATAGAATAAGCATGAATGCAACTGCATTGAATAACTTTAGTAACTTGCTAATGAAAGGGAGACAATTCAATTTTGTACTTGAAGGTAAAGAAAAAAATTAAGTTACCTCCCTTTTCATTATAAAAGTTTTAAAACAATTCCTGTTAAAAACAACTTAATCTCCTGCTTTGTTTCAAAAAAGTTGATCCATGAAACTAAAAGTATAATTTCATTATCACTACCTGTATCAAATGTAAGTACAAGATATGGTAAAGGAGGAAATACTTGTATATTTATCATTACATTTATTTTGTCAATTTGTAACCCTATGTATCCCAACCACATGAATTTTAGAGACTGGAAGCCCTTAGATGATAACGCACTGAAAATGTTTTCATTTTTACCCTGTTATAAGCATTGGAGGTCACTGACAGAAATATGTAGGGTTGATTTCTGTGGTTTACACTGTCACTGAACTAAGTGTAGATGCTTAGAGAAGGGGGGGGGGGGGTAATATATTATATGGCTGTACTATTTCAAGTTATGTCAGTATTTTCTCATTACTGCGAACTCATATGACCTATTTTAATTTATGAGAAAATTTTTGGATTGTTTTCATTTATAATTTACATTGGATCCATTGTCCAACCACATATATGTTTGTATTCAGTGAATTTTCAGTGGAGTTAAGCCTTTGGAAGGCATATTATAACTCTGCACAAAGGTCATGTGAGTATAGCTAAGGTCATCAGTACTTAGCAAAAGACATTTTGATGCAAATTGTGTTGATTATGAAAGTTTTATGGACAGGCAATTCAACATTGATTGGTCAACTATGTGATTATTTAAAATGTCATCATTTGATCTGAGGTGATTTGAGACCCAAGGAACATTACGTTAGCAAGTTAAAGAACATCATCTTGTAGTCATACTAAAAGCACCCCTATGAAAAAATACATATTTTGAAGTAGAAAATCAAATAATTGTGGAGGATGCATTTATCATTGATAGCAGTCATCAATGACATTTAATCCCTTATGATATTTTTGTATTGTTATAATGATGATAATATTGGAAACAAGAAATCCCCATACATAATCATTTGAGATCATAAATCAACAATGTTTTATCAGAACAAAATTTTCTCTATTAGTATTCATTGGCATAATGAAAATCACAAATGGTTTTTCTAATGAATGTATAAATATCAAGATTTGATTATAAAATTTTTTAGACTCAAAACATTTTAACTACTCCAATATCATAAATATTTGATTTAGGAGTACCAAAAATGACATTGTTTTGTGAAGATTAATCAGGATTTTTTAAAAGTATTTACAATATATATTATATAAGACTTCTTTTTTTATTTTCAACAGGAGTCCCGCTGGAGAAGATCAAATGTAGAAAACATCCCAGAATTCCCCTGGACCAGTTCTGTACCCTGTGTGGTGTTCCCTTGTGTGTGGAGTGTACCAGCTCTGAGGATCACAGCAGACATCAACTTACAGATATAGAGACATTGTTTGACAACATTCATAGGACAGAGGGTAATAGTTTAATTATTTTTTTAAACATTTTATGTTTCTAGCATGTGGAATATGTTTTAAATATTTGATCCAATTCTGCTTCAATTGTCAATAAATCATTTATAACAATGGCCTATATTTACCCAATCCAAACACACAAGAGATAATCTTCTGTACGAAGTTTGTAGACTATCTATTTACTTGTAATTGGATGTCTTGTTGTCTGTAGGTTTGTCTTTATCCAATTATTGGGAGTTATATAAAATCGCCTTGTCTTTTTATCTGTCAAGTTGTCGATTGGTTTGTCTGTCATGTCAAGCCCAAAACTACATAATCGGAAAACACGAAACTGAAAGCTAGCATATACTGGGTACATTGATGATGTGTGTCGACCTTTACGCAAGGTCACTTTAGCAAGTTCAAGGCCACAAATCACCTCAATCAAATTCTTGAATGAAGTGTATTAACCATAGTATACATTCATTTAATGTGATGAAGGGCTTTACTAATTTACACAATTTTTACATCTGAAGGAATTTTTGTACAAAGGCTTAACTATGTTATCTGGATATCCCTGACACACATACATGCCCTTTCAGAAACATTTGAATCAATGTAAGGAGACCTGTTCTTGGTATAAAGCTGATAACAATTTATGGGAAAATTACTCCATTCTGTATAACAATTTTAATAGCTGGTGATGTTAATACATTCAAGGTGTTTTCCGAGCTTGTTTATATATATATATATATGTATATATTTCTTTATTTTGTAGATGGAGATACACTATTGATGTGCCTTCTTATTTCCAATTCCTACAAAATAAACATGAAAGAAGGAAACTGGATGACTAAATATAATGCTGTTGCCAACATTTTTAATTCCAAGGAAGTCACAAAGCCTTTTGCTCCTACAGATTTAGAAAAATACAAACCAATTCTAAAACTCAATGAATCAGAGATCAGTTTTTCCACTGAGCTCTTCAAGTACAGTAGTTTTCTGAAATTCTCAAAGCGTTCTGCATTGATCTTTACTGATATTTTCTTGACTTGGGCAGACAAAGAAAACATTGCTGAGTACTGTAGATCATGGAATTATCAGAGAGGAGAGGATGAAGTTTGCTGTTGGTTACTGCCAGAAAAAAATGAAGAGTTTTTAAAAAGACTTGGACAAGATATTTTCATGCACCCAACAATGGTGGACCAGTCATTCCATGAAGCTGTATTTAGAAAATGTAGGTCTACATTCAAGGAATTTTCAGAATTGTTTACTTAATATTTAATGACAAATGTTTAGGGTTTTGGCAGATTTTTGTTTTATTAATGATATTTATTTAGTAATTATTAATTGAGACAAAGAATGTGAATATATTTCTTTTTAAGTTTGTACATGTATGTAATATATTTTGACTATTTTTCTTTAAGTTAGTATTATAATGCCTCAATGTTTGACTCTTAGTCGGTGTACCTATTCAGATAATAATGAGGGGAGACAAATCTGTAAAAAATTTCATCGAAAATCTGAAGAAAGGAAAGACCATGATGTACCACGCCTCTGGAATGATAATAGGATGTGCTGGTAGTGGTAAAACAACATTACTACAGAGACTGAAGGGCATCGATCTGAAAGAAATAATGGAAAATACCAACTCAACCAGAGGAGTTGATATCCACACAGATGTCTTTGAAGTTACAGATAGCCTCCATGGTATGGTTTATTGTTTGTTATGCCCCCCTTCGAAGAAGGGAGGGCATTATTATGCCCCCCTTCGAAGAAGGGAGGGCATATTGCTTTGCTGCTGTCTGTCGGTCGGTCTGTCGGTCCGTCTGTCCGTCGGTCCACTTAGTTTCCGTTCATTTTCTTCAAAACCGTTACACATACTTGAATAAAATTTGGTATACAGATATATCACATGAATATCTAGGTCGAGTTCTGTTTAGGGTATGATCGCACCTTTTTTGACAGAGTTATGCCCCTTGGACTTAGAAAAAAATCAATTATTTGCCGTTTCCTTTCATTTTCTTTGCAACCGTTGTACATATTGAAATGAAATCTGGTATACAGATATATCAAATAAATATCAAGGTCGAGTTCTGTTTTGGGTACGATCGCACCATCTTTGACAGTTATGCCCCTTGGACTTAGAAAAAATTCAATTATTTGCCATTTCCATTTATTTTCTTTGCAACCGTTATACATATTGAAATGAAATTTGGTATACAGATATATCAAATAAATATCTAGGTCGAGTTCTGTTTTGGGTACAATCGCATAATTTTTGACAGAGTTATACCCCTTGGACTTGGAAAAATTCCAATTTGGGGGAAGGGGGGCATAAGTGTTTTACAAACATCTCTTGTTTTCATTGATCCTGTGTTAAATTGATACTTATATAATAGCATTGTGCTTAGCATTCAGATTGCCTTAATTGTAGTCAGTGTTTGACACATAGTGCACGAGCCAGAGGCAAGTGCACTATGTGTTAAAAGCTGACTACAGTTTAAGCAAAGTACATGCTAAACTTAACATGAGCCCAAGGCTCAATTTATTTTTTAGCTCACCTGAGCCGGAGGCTCAAGTGTGCTTTTCTGATCAAAATTTTATCCGTTGTCTGTCGTCGTTGTCATCTTTGTCGTAAACTTTTCACATTTTCATCTTCTTCTCAAGAACCACAGGGCCAATTTCAACCAAACTTTGCACAAAGTATCCTTGGGCTTGGGTGAAGGGGAATCAAGTTTGTTCAAATGAAGGGCCACGCCCTTTTCCAAGGGGAGATAATAATGAATTAGGGAAAAATTAATGACATTTTCAGCTCACCTGAGTCAAAGGCTCAAGTGAGCTTTTCTGATCAAAATTTTTCCGTTGTATGTCGTTGTCGTCATTGTCGTTGTCATCGTCGTTGTTGTTACAGTCAGGGGCATGATGGAATCAAGTTATTTTCTAAAATAACTTGTTTATATTACTTCATTTGTCAGTTACTAAATAAAAAAGTAACTCATTTGAGTTAATGCTTAAAAAGAAGAACACCTATTAGTTTAGCAAAAAACATTAATATTTTGGGATTGCTGCTGATTTAAAATAATTTAAGGCTAAAGAAAATTGTAAATATATGTACTTCTTTTAATAGACTCAACAAACTTAATATCTTATGAGCAGATATGATGAAATTAGGAAAATAACATGATAGTTTTCAAGGAAAAATAATTCCATTTCATTAACATTTCAGAGGTCAATTACACATCTTCCGCCAATTTTGCCAATATTGAGACTAATTTTCCTATAATCTTTGGATATTACTGTGCAATCTCTATGTCTTGCATTTTTTGTGCAAAGCTGTAGATTTTTGTGCAAGAGTTTTAAAGTGAGGTGGGTTAAGGATGAAATAATTGAAATAAGTTATAATTTGTTGGATTTCAATGTGTTAAATGTTAAAGATAGATTACTTTTACCGTCAGAAACCATCTACCAGTACTTAATAACCCAAGCACAGCATGACTAAATCCTTTCAGATGCCAGTAGGTTTACAATAATGAGTAGTAAAGTATCAATAACAGGATTAAGTTACTGAAGAAAAGCATAATCCTGGGAAGATAACCCAAAATGTTGACATTTAATAACTGAAACAAATTATTTCAAAAATAACTTGTTTCCATGATGCCCTTGATTGTTAACTTTTCACATTTTCAACTTCTTCTCAAGAACCACTGGGCCAATTTCAACCAAACTTGGCACAAAGTATTCTTAGGTAAAGGGGATTCAAGTTTGTTCAAGTGAAGGGCCACGCCCTTATTCAAGAGGAGATAATTAAGAAATAATGAAAATTTGATGGTATGTTTTAAGAATCTTCTTCTCAAGAACTACTGGGCCAAGAAAGATGAAACACTTTTTTCGACATATCCGATGTCGAGATACCGAAGTTTACCTGTATTTATATGGAATCATCCTAAGGTAGTGTAGATTCTAGTTCAAATCATAAACCCCTCGGGGGTTAAAATTCAAGCCCCCCCCCCCCACCCCCAACCATCACCTCAGTAAACTTTCAGTTCTGATCTGATATGTGCTTTTTCCTAGCCGATGTGCTCAGGTGAGCGCTGTGGCCCCTGGGCCTCTTGTTAAGTCACCTGAGTAAGGTCAGGAAAGACGAAACTCATGTGGAATCATCCTCAGGTAGTGTAGATTCAAGTATGTTCAAATCATGACCCCAAGGGCTAGGGCGAGACCAAAATGGCCGACCAAAGTTTTACATAGGAATATATACCGGGTAGGAAAAATTTTAAAAAATCCTCTTCTCAAGAACCACTGGGTAAGGAAAGATGAAACTCACGTGGAATCATTGTCAGGTAGTGTAGATTCAAGTTTGTTCAAATCATGACCCCCCCCCCCCCCCCCCCATCGGCTAGGGTGGGGCCACAATGGCCGACCCAAGTTTTACATAGGAATATATTAGAAAAATCTTTAAAAATCTTCTTCTCAAGAACCATTAAGACAGAAAAGATGAAACTCATGTTGAATTATCTTCAGGTAGTGTAGATTCAAGTTTGTTCAAATCATGACCCCTGGGGCTAGGGTGGGGCCAAAATGGCCGACCGAAGTTTTACATAGGGATATATTGGGAAACCTTTTAGAATCATCTTTTCAAGTACTTCAAAGCCATGATTAGTGGTATTTATATGGAATCATCCTAAGGTAGAGTAGATTCTACTTCAAATCATGAACCCTTGGGGGGTTAAAATTCAAGCCCCCCCTCCCCCCAGCATCACCTCAGTAAACTTTCAGTTCTGATCTGATATGTGCTTTTTCCTAGCCGATGTGCTCAGGTGAGCGCTGTGGTCCCTGGGCCTCTTGTTAAAAAATTTTCTCAAGAACCACTAGGCCAGGAAAGGTGAAACTCATGTGGAATCATCCTCAGGTAGTGTAGATTCAAGTGTGTTCAAATCATGATCCCCGGGGTAGGGTAGGGCAACAATGGCTGATCAAAGTTTTACATAGGAATATATATAAAGGAAATCTTTTAAAATCTTCTTCTCAAGTACTTTAAAGCCATGATTTGTGATAATTATATGGAATCATCCTCTTTAGTGTACACATGTAGGTTTTAGTTTGTTCAAATCATAACCCCCAGGGATAGGGTTGGACCACAATGGGGTATCAAAGTTTTACATAGAAAAGTAAAGGAAAAAAATCCCAAGAATAGAAAAACTATGTTTAGTCATATTGAAATGTAAGCATCCACATGTATTGAAGATTTAAATTTGTTCAAATCATGACCCTTTGGAGGGTAGGACCCCCCCCCCCCACACACATACACCTCTCTTTAGGTCACCTGAGTAACTGAGGTGACCTATTGCTATACGTTTTAGTCCGTCGTCGTGAGTCGGGCGTCGTGTGTTGTGCGTCGTGTGTCGTGTGTTAACATTTGAACATTTTCATCTTCTTCTCTGAAACCACTGAACCAATTTCAACCAAATTTAGTATACAGCATCTATGGGTGGAGAGGAACAAAAATTGTGAATTTCATGGTCCCCGCTCCCCAGGGGCCTGAGGGGTGGGGCCAAAACCACTAAAATGATTGCAATCTTTAAAAATCTTCTTCTTTACTCCTGGACATCAAGCAGGCAATCTGTTGGCATGAATGTAATGTGCATTGAGTCCTCTACCAAAATTGTGAAATTCATGGCCCCAGGGTCTGGGGTTCTAGTGCTAGGGCGGGGCTCCATAGATTATATAGTGAAAATGCAATATTTCTTTGAAAATCTTCTTCTCTGCTCCTGGGTATTAAATAAACTAACTAAGCACATAGTTATTATGAGCAAGAGTGCCTCTTCCAAAATTGTGAATTTTATGGCCCCAGGGTCAGGGGTTCTGGTGTTAGGGCGGGGCTCTATTGATTATATAGTGAAAATGCATTTATTCTTTGAAAATCTTCTTCACTGCTTCTGGGTATTAAATAAACTTACTAAGTACATAGTAATGATGAGCAAGAGCACCTCTTCCAGATTTGTGAATTTTATGGCCCCAGGGTCAGGGGTTCTGGTGTTAGGGCGGGGCTCTATTGATTATATAGTGAAAATGCATTAATTCTTTGAAAATCTTCTTCTCTGCTTCTGGGTATTAAATAAACTAACTAAGCACATAGTTATGATGAGCAAGAGTGCCTCTTCCAAAATTGTGAATTTTATGGCCCCAGGATTAGGGGTTCTGGTGTTAGGGCGTGGCTCTATTGATTATATACTCAGTAGTAAAAATAAATTCTTTGAAAATATTTTCCTTTGCTTCTGGGTTTTATGCCAATATATTTATGATGAAAAAAGGTGCATCTAGCAAAGTGTTTTTTTTTATGCCCCCAGGGTCAGAGGGGGGGGGGTACATAGTCTGAAAATAAATTAATGCTTTGAAATCTGCTCTTCAGTTTTAATCAACCATTTTATGATAAATTTGTAAAATTTTGAATATGTGGCCCATTGGTCACTGGTTCCTTTAGGGTGAGGTGCACAACTGGGTATAAAGTGGAAGTGCATTTTCTCTTTGTTACTCTGATATACCTCTGGGTATTAAGTAAATGGAGTAAACATGCTAAGTTAATAATTATGATAAGCAATGGTGCCTCTTTAAAAATTGTAAATTGTGAATTTCATGGCCTCTGGTTTAAAACACGAATCAAATTTGAAAGTTTGAAAGTTGTTACACAATACTCAGGTGACCTATAAGGCCCGTGGGCCTCTTGTTTCAGTTCTGATCTGATTTTCCTAGCCAGGTTATTCTCAACAGCTCAGGTGAGCGATGTGGCCCCTGGGCCTCTTGTTCTTATTTTGATGAATGATTTTGCCATGGTAACTAAAATTGAAAATACTGTGAAATTTTATTAAAAGCTAATTCTACAGTTGCAGTCTTATTGCAATGTATTGCCACAAAGAGACTTAATCAAAGATCATCAAGTCCCAACTGCTACTTTTTTCCCTTCATTATATTAAGTACAAACAGTAGACCTTCAGTCTCAACAGATACTTCTGTATTTTTTTTCGCAGTTAATTTTTCAAGTCAACAAAAACACTTCAAACTTAGACTTGATAAAAAAGATCTGAAACAGAGCGTTTCTGAACATAAATCAGAGAATGCAGCTGATTATGGGATAACGCAGGAAAAGGTGGAACGAGTTGATGAAGAGGGCAATACGATTGAAGCATCAAACAGAAGCCAGATATCACATGTAGATACCAATGTTAGCATGACTCAAACTGCCTCATCTAATGAACAACGCGGGGCAAAGTCATCAAATGTAGCAGAAGTTGTGAGGGAAAGCAAAGATATTCCTCATAGTTCAGAAATTTCTGGAAATTTGCAAATTGGTGCAGAAGACATTTCAGAAGATCGAGATAAAAAAATAACCATGACTGACTTTGCAGGACAGTGTTCATATTATGCCTCACACCAGATTTTTCTGAGTCCCCGGGCATTCTTCATTCTGGTGCTGAATATGGAGAAGAAGTTTGATGATAAGGTTGGAGAAGAAGTGTGTTGTCAGGAAGGCTCCATTTACGGGGGATGGACAAACAGAGGTTGTATACTATGAAATATGTATTTTTAGCTCTTCTGAGCCAAAGACTCAAAGAACTAATGCTATGGCCATTTGTGCGGTGTGGGTAAACTTTTTAGAATATGGGCCATAACTCAAGAACCCCTTGGCCAATCAGTACCAACTTTGTCCCAGAGTATCCTTGGCCCAAGGGCTACCATTTGTACTAAAATAAAGGTTGGGACCCTTAAACAAGGGGAGATAATCAGGAAAATAGAACCAAAAGTACTGGTTGCTAAAAAATCTTCTTCTCCATAACCACTGGGCAGATTTTCACCAAACTTACATACAAAGATCAGAATATGTCATAGATTAATATTTGCACGGGGAATTACCCTGGGGCAAAGAGCGTGGTCTCAAGTTCACTTCAAAGTTGACCTAAATTTACAATTAATACAAACGTGTATAATTTGCTTACTATAAGGACCAGGATCATCAAATCTTGTAAGTTGATGCATCTTGCGACTTCACATCATGTAACAGACCCTAAACCGTGCTACTACACCTCAGAAACAAACGTACCGTTCCGTACAGAAAGCGTACCGTACCGTGCACAAAGCGTACTGTACAAGATCGTTTTTGCCGTAAGTATGCATTCATATCTACAGTACATATCAGATGCGTGAATTTAATAATGAATTATTTTGTAAGAATTTTAAAATATATATAAACTGTCAAATTTAAAAAAAAAGATCCGTATTAGACTCTCACATTAATTCTTTTGAGATTCTTACATGTACTATAGGCGAATTATTGGTGCAGTTATACTTGCACTGAAAATCTGTAGTCATGTAAAATATGGATTAAAATATTACATGCGGTAAACATGAAGATTTCTACTGAACAGACAAAGATGATAATCTTACTTATAAAACTGTGATCAACTTTCACGCTGCATACAAAAATCGCCAGCCGAATTTCTTGCAAATAAAATGTGCAAACTGCAGTATAAATATTACTTCATTCTGAAATACATCTTATGAAAAATGAAAAAAAAATTGCGAAAAATGAAAATGTTATAAGGTTTGTTACACGGTACCCCCCATTCCCTTTCTAGAAAGCAATACAAATTATCTGGTTAAAAGTTCTTTAGAAGTCTGCAAAATGGTACGTTGTTAATTTAAAAAAAAATCATAATCAACAGGAAACATTTTTATTAGTGTCTGAAAAAAGATAATTTACTAAATAAAATGAAATTTAATATATTATATTTAATATATATATATATTTGTAAAAAAAATCTTCAGAAAAGGGTTGCTTATGCATAAGATGTAATGAATAAAACTATGGGAGAAGTTAAAACCATTTGAGAAAGAATTTTAGGCATCAAGTAAATTTTTGAACAATGTCTACACATTCACCTAACACAGATTTAAAAAATGAGGACATATTGAAAGACTTTTAAAGAATTGATTTATTAAAATATATTTTGACCAACATCACAAAATTTATATAACTGGCCCAAACTGGCAGATGATGAAATAAGCAATTGAATGTTCTACTTTCCTATTTGTAAGCATTATTTGTAAGCATTATGTGTCCAGTGGTAAGGAGCCTATTAGAATAGCATAAAAAAAGAATGTACAAATGTTAATAATTGATTTATCAAAAAAAAGTTTTAATTTCCTTCTCCTTCAGGACATTTTTATTCTCATGTTCATAACTAAACCTAAAAATAAAAAATGCTGGACTCACAATGAAGAAAGGGGCCTCTTTCAAAATAGATAATTTCAGGGCCGCTGGGTCAGGGGTACCAGGGGGTACTTTAACTAAAAATAAATTAATGCTTTAAAATCTGCCCTTTGATAAGCAATGGTGCCTCTTCAATATTTGTGAATTTCATGGCTTTTGGATTAAAAAACGAACCAAATACAATCACTGGAAAGTTGTTACATGATACTCAGTTGACCTATAAGGCCCGTGGGCCTCTTGTTTTTAGACGAGTGTGAACTATGAACTGAACTGACCATAAGAATGTTTCAAATCACAGAAGAAATTCTTCCTGCGTAAACAGACTTTCAGGGTCACCTAGCGTCATGCCATTTTGATTGACAGGTGATGCACGAGGATTTCATGCTTGCAGCATGCATGTACAAAGAACGGATTATTCATTGCACAATAGTTGTAAATACATGTAGGTTATGGTAGACTGATTAATTGTGACTTTGGCGATGTAAATAAAACGAAGAATGAGAATAAATACAGTTATTTTTTTTTACAGATAATGTTTGCATCTCTCTCTCTCTCTCACGACATTGTTTTTACAGACTTTACAAGAACAGAATAACTTAATAAAATAAAGAAAAACTTCTAAAAATAATTACTTAATACACTGAAAGAATTATTGAAAACATAAATACTTGTCTGTGAAAAGAATGTTTTTGTTACGAGAAAGCGCTCGGAAGTTATTCTATTAATTTCGTGTGTCTGCTGCTGATTTTTGTATTTATTCTGTTTACTGATATTTCTCTTCTGAAGCAAACGTTTTAGCGATTGATCTACAATTAAAAAAAATTACATATCTGATTACAAGGAATAAAAATGAAGCAGGAATGGTCATATTTATTTCTATAGATCAATGAATTACAAATAATTTATATACATGTATGTGCATATAGCGTTATATGTATAAAATAAGTATATACCCGGTATATATTAATTCCTTTTAATTATGTTACAACTTTATTTTAAAGTGAAAAATATTTCCTTGATTTTTTTTTTCATTTTTAAAATGAAGGTTCAGCATACGTAAAAAAGAAGCACGGAAATACTTACGAGTTCTATATATATTAATACATATCTAAACATATGCCAAAGACATCGGTGGGATGATGTTTTTTCTTCCTTTCATTTTTTTTTTCATTTTTCCTCCATCACCGCTGTAGTGTTAATTGTTTAAACTGAAACCGAGAAATTAATTTGTTAATAGCTGAAATATAATTATATACGTGCATTGAGTACTTCAAAAGTCATTAAAAAAAATAAATTTTTAGCAACCAATCAAGAATTAAAGCTAATAGGCTCCGCCCACGTCATTTGCATACTGTTTCTCAAAGCGTACCGTTCACAAAACGAACCGTTCCGTGCAAGAAACGAAACGTACCGTCAACAAAGCGAACCGTTACGTGCACAAAGCGTACCGTTCCGTGCACAAAGCGAACCGTTCCGTGCACAAACGTACCGTACCGTTCTCAAAACGAACCGTTCCATTCACAAAGCGTACCGTTCCGTGCACCAAGCATACCGAACCGTACCGTTCTAGTGGTGTAGTAGCACAGTTTAGGGTCTGTAGCTCAAAAGTAGGTCACCGTGACCTACTTTTTAAATTTTGCGGGGATTTGTTTTCTAATTGATTTGAAGGCATATTTTGGACACTTTAAGGCTTATGATCATCAAACTTTGTCAGTTGATGCACCTTGGGTCCTCTAACAATGTCAACTTAAAAGTAGGTCACCATGATCTACTTTTTGAACTCTATGACTGATCCTTTTAAAAACATTAAATCCCATTATTTCAGACAATGGGAGGTTTAGAATCATCAAATCTTGTAATTTGATGCATCTTGGGACCTTAAAACATATTTTTGAAAAAGTAGGTCACTGTGACCTACTTTTTGAATTTTACTGACATTTGTTTTTAAATTGTTTAAAATGCATATTTTGATTACTTTCAGACCTGCGATCATCAAACTTGGTCAGTAGATGCATCTTGGGTCTTTGGAAAATGTCGACCAAAATTTAGGTCACGATGACCTACTTTCGACATTTCATGGCTATATTTAAGTATCTTAGATAGTTCATCAAAATTTGTGAGTGGATGTATATTTAGTTTTCGGAGAGTGACAACCAAAAAGTAGGTCAAGGTGACCTACTTTTGACATTTTATGGCTTTATCTTCGGTACTTATTGGCTTAGAATCATCAAATTTTGTGAGTTGATGCATCTTTGGTTTTCGGGGTGTGACGACCAAAAATTAGGTCATGGTGACCTACTTTTGACATTTTATGGCTTTATTTAAATATCTCTGTTACTTATTGGCCTAGAATCATCAAACTTTGTGTGTTAATGCATCTTTGGTTTTCGGAGTGCGAGGAACAAAAATTAGGTCATGGTGACCTACTTTTGACATTTTGTTGCTATAATTATGTATCTCCGGTACTTATTGACCTAAAATCACATACTTTGTCAGTTGATGCATCTTGGGTTTTTCGGAGATTGTCGACCAAAAAGTAGGTCACAGTGACCTACTTCTGACATTTTATGGCTTTATTTAAGTATCTCAGGCACTTATCGGCTAAGAATCATCAAACTTTGTCAGTTGAGGCATCTTGTGTTTTCGGAGAATGTCGACCAAAAAGTAGGTTACAGTGACCTACTTTTGAATATCTCAGGTACATATTAGCTTAGAATCATCAAACTTTGTCAGTTTAGGCACCTTGGGTTTTCGGAGAATGTCGACCTAAAAGTAGGTCACTGTGACATACTTTTGACAATTTATGGCTATATTTAATTATATCTGGTACTTATTGGCTCAAAATCATCAAACTTTGTAAGTTGAGGCATCTTTCAGTTTCATTGAATGTCCAACAAGAAGTAGGTCATAGTGACCTACTTTTGAATATCGCAGGTACTTATTGGCTTAGAATCATCAAATTTTGTCAGTTTAGGCATCTTGGGTTTTTGGATAACGTTGACCAAAAAGTAGGTCACTGTGACCTACTTTTGACATTTGATGGTTATATGTAATTATCTCTGATACTAATTGGCTTAGAATCGTCAAACATTGTCAGATGATGCATCTTGGGTTTTCAGAGAATGTTGACCAAAAGGAGGTCATGGTGACCTACTTCTGAATATCTCAGGTACTTCTTTAATAAGAATCATAAGTTTTTGTCAATTAATGTATCTTGAGTCCTCAAAAAAATTCAATAAAAAGGTAGGTCACTGTGACCTACTTATGGTATTTTATATTATAATATCTTCA